GCATATCAGCCTTATGGACGTAGAAAGACGGGCGCTAAATAGCATGAATAAAAACCTAGAACTCACCAAGCTGATGAAATATAGAAACAAGAATACGGAAACCCCATCCATCCTGATTTCTGGTAACCAAATAACTAACAATCCAGCTAAAATAAGCAGGGATTTCAATAATTACTTTTGTTCTACTTTTAACACCGCTGCTGCGGCTCCCTCGCACATTATCCCTCTGCTTACTGATGACAAGATCTGCACAGTTGATTTTGAACTTCGTGATATAAATCGACTTATCACCTCTACGAAGTCATCATGGTATGCCGGACCTGACAAATTACCACCAACGCTTATAAAATACGGTGGATCTGACTTCCCTGTACTACTTTTGAATCTTTTTTCTCTATCCATGAACGCCGGTACCGTGCCATCACAGTGGAAGACGGCTGTAGTCATTCCTCGCTACAAGTCAGGCTCTGTGCATGAAATGAGCAACTACCGCCCAATAAGCCATACTTCTATCCTCTCAAAAATGATGGAGCGTCACATAAAGTCCAAAACTGTGGACTTCATGATGTCGCGAAATCTTATCAACACCTCACAACACGGCTTCCTAAGCACGCGATCCTGCATAACATGTCAGATAGACTTTCTCAGTCTTCTGATTACTTCGCTCGATGACGGTTCATCAGCGATAGTCATCTACCTAGATTTGCACAAAGCATTTGATCGTGTCCCTCATAACCACCTCTTATCCAAACTAACTGCATATGACATAGACAACCCTCTGCTTTCATGGTTTGATTCTTACCTAACTAATAGAACCCAGGTTGTTCAGATCGAGCACGAAACAAGCACGCCAAAGCCTGTCACCAGTGGTGTGATACAAGGTAGTGTTCTGGGACCCTTTTTATTCCTACTTTACGTAAATGATATTTTTGATGTCTTTGCCTCCGGCAAACCTTTCCTGTTTGCCGATGACATCAAAATTGTTTACACTTTTAATCCAACTGAGGTCAGTGATACGCTTAGCGAAATCCAGCATGACTTACGTAAACTGGACTAATGGAGTTCCAAATGGATGATGACATTCTCTACTGATAAATGCCACGTGGTATCCTACAGATGTGACATCACACCAGGTTCACTAACTATAGATGGTAAACCATTGTCTCACTGCCACACTATCCGTGACCTAGGGATCCACCACTCGAGCACCCTTAACTTTTCCGAACACGCAGGACACACCGCAGCTCAAGCCCGCCGAAGCATTGGGCTTTTGTTCAAAACATTTAACTTAAAAGAATCCATTAACACCATGTATAGAATAAAAACGCGCCCGCTGCTTGAATATGGCTCCATCACCTACTGTAATTCTAGAGTGAGTGATCGTATGGCATTGGAACGTGTTCAACGATCATTTACTAAGCGTCTTCTAGGCTATTCCACCACCCTATCTTACATGGATCGTTGCGTTGCCTTAAAACTTGATCCACTGTGGCTGCGAAGAATGAAACTTAACCTTTTCATCTTCTTTGACACAATTACCCAAAAAATACATTCTTCACCCCCATCGGTACAACGAGCAGAATTATCAAATTATCGCACCCGAAATAATGATCACAATAAAGTAAAAGTGAAAAGATCACGAACGAAACTGTCTGACAACTTTTTCCTAAATCGATACTCCATATTGTGGAACAGGCTTCCATCTGAGATACGTGCAATCCAGTCAGGGATGAAGTTCCGACACGTTATACATTCCTTTTTAAACGTCGAAACAGCGATCGGTATATTGCAACCTACCTTGACAAGTGAATCCCCATACGAAATAGGAGCAAGATGGATATAGTATCAATATCAGGGGATCTTTTTATTCTCCTGTTGCCCGATCTTACTGCCTCTCCCAAATTTATCAGTAGCAATAACGTGTTTTCTAAAGGCAAAAATATCCTGATTAACAATGAAGTTCACACTCACCAAGACGGAAATGTGCCCTAGAGTTCCTCTCGAGCAAATTATTTCGCATTTGTTCTGCAACGCTAATTATCTTCCACTTATCTTTTCCCCTGGCCCCCTCCCTTAGGTACGAGCTGCTGTGTTACGTGCTCAGCGAAATCAATGTTGATTTAATCCTTCTGCTTTTGGACTGAATCCATTTGATAACACCTTCCGAAAACCTGCCATGATCTTCCACGCTTACGTTCACTTTGAACAAATCCCCTCATCGAAATCAGCTTCTCCTCTTACCGCACACAGCTGAACAGTTGGAACGACGGTTAACTTACTTTACTTTGCGTACAGTTTTCTCTCCCTCCCTGAGAAATACCATGCGTACATACAACATTTCTCAGTACCATACCAAATTATTTCGCATCACCAATTTTCCCATTTTGATCTCCGACAACTGCTGGAGCTATCTTACTATTTCCTCCGAAAATTCTTCTCCTTTTCTGTAAAAAGCATGTATATTCCTGAGGTTATCAGTCACCAGTGAAACTTGTACAATCTGAATCGAACAACATCGGACGAAAACTTAGCATTTCACGTTACTTTACGTCCACCCACTTTTATTTGCTTATTTCTCTCCTTCCAGTGTTGGCCAGGATTGCGCCGATCTCCCGAGGCTATGGATAAATGCTTCCGAAAAAATGCAGCACACTCATGCAGTATGAGTTATCACAAACTCACTGGCACATATTACAAGTGCTTGATTCGAATCAGCCAAATGATGGCTATGCGATGGGGAGAGCTTAATATGAAACACAGGCCCCCACAGTACAGTGCTGGAATTGAATCAGCTAAAAGATGGCTGTATGATGGGGAGAGATTTTCATTGAACACAGGCCCCCACAACACAGTACTGGAAACAAATCAGATAAAAGATGGCTATACGATGGGGAGAGCTTAATATATATCACAGGCCCCCACATAACTGTATACATATAACGCCACAATAGCACATGGCCAGATGAGATGTGGAAGAGAAGTGTGGAAGCACGTCTCCGGGAGACGGTTTCATGATGGGTCGTATTACTCCAATTAAACTGACAGTTTTTATCTACTTTTATTCTTACTCTCAACTTCTACTACTCTTACTCCTTTACTATTTTTAATTGATTTAGCATTGACTCTACCACGCATTCAAGCTAGTTAACATGGCACCGAGGCGCAACCCCAAAGGAATCAGAAAGCATTTGTTGGTCACCGCTGAAGCCATTGCAGTCAGAATACTTCAGCCGGATTGGTGCAAGCAGGGAACACTGATACAATCTATACTGTTGCCGTGATTGTGTTGTCAGACGGCGATTACGACTGAGAGTGGTCATTGTAAACCTGCCGGCCAACGCGTCTATGCCATGTGCGTTTGTGCATCTCCGCGCGTGCTTGCGCGACTCATGACCTTTGACTGTATCGAGTGTACTGCCGATCGACTTCGTTCAACCAACCACATCCCAGTGTTCGCTTACTTGTATGTTTATCTGTGTTGTACTTGTATTTACCTTATTCGAGTCCACGAAATAATTCTGTTCACGGGTGTTATGCCTTATGTTTTGTGATTACTATCTAAGCTTCTTAGAGTTTTTCCATTTGGTATTCTACTGCGGGGCCATTCTTTTTGATCGTTTGCTTGATTACAGGTTTTGCATTACACATGCTGTAGCCAGCAGCCGTCGAGCGGCTGTTTTTTCTCTTAGGTTGGGTATCCTTTTTAATTTTGTGTTCCACCGAATGAGGTCTACTTCGACGCGGGTCAGTGGGAGCTGGAAGGAAGCTTTCCCGCTGATGCTTCTTTTTCCTTACACGATCTTCTACTACTTATGGCCGTATGCTGCTGACGAGCATTCTTGCATTTTAATGCTTGCTTAACGCTCTTTTATTTTTTTCGGCATTTCCAACTCACTTCCTTGTTATTTTCGTGGATAACTGTCGCCACATCTGTATGCCACTGACGTTGCATCGTCAAGCACCCTTGCATTTGCTGTCGTCGTCGTGGTTGTCGTTATCCTTTTCATTGTTGTTGTGAATGATAAGAATAATTTAGCTGTTGATGATTGTTGTTAAGTTTAAGCGGGAATGAGTGCGACAGAACCATTCGATAAGCGTTGACGTTGCTACTTACTTATTCCTTAAGGGTCCGCAGCCCCGCCACGACTGCAAGTTTTCAACCTACATAAATCTTAAAGAGCGCAGTAATGATGGACGCCGTTATGATTTATGTGTAACCAGTCTTTCCTCAAATCCAATTAACCGTGTCAGTAGTCAACCGCGTTCGCTTGGATGATGCCAGGCATTGGTTCATTAGAATTATTACTCAATGAAATCTGCATCATGGTGCGTTCCAGTCTCATGCAGCCGAGTTGCACGCTACCGCATACGTCCCCACTTGTGAGTCGCGTACTGTATTATTTGGAAAGAATCAACCATCTCGAGTCACGTTTGTTACATACTCAGTCGGCGACAATCATTGTCAGGCAATTAGAGTGAAGTGGTCTTGCACCAGCGATCATATGACTCTTGGTCAAGCGCGGTGGGATCGACCGTGGATCCACCAAATACTCAAATCTAAAACGAGACTAAGGTACACAACTCGGGCACAGTGGCCCACCTCTATGAGCAAATGTTGATATGTGAATTTTTGGCTGAACACTATGAAATCTTATGAGCCACCAGACTGTCAACGGACCGTGGGGATGATGGCAATTTAGATGCTCAAAAAATGAACCTTGACCAAGATGTTGCAACTAAAGAGTTTATTTGATTCATTGTCAGCTGAATGAGACCTGGATGTACTGGCCTACGGCATCAGAGAAAACTAGTAGTTTCACCCCTTGTCTTGTATCCCTTGCTCCTTGCATTAATACTGACATAATTCAGCGCTGGTGAAATAAGCAAATAGGGTTGGAAGAATACCTGGATAAAAAAATAATTAGAAAATACGTTGACGAATCTAACAATTCAGCCAACTTAAGGATATAGAGTACGATTAATGATCACCTTTGCACGTTTTAAAGCTGGTTGATAAAAGTGTCTTTCTCCATCTTCGAATAAAATTTCTGGTGTAATGTGCCACCACTTTTGTGGCTATTGCACCAACTCACTATTATTATCAGGGTGAAGACAGATTGTTGCGAAAGTTGGCTATTTTCGTTCTTGTAGAATGCTCCTCTTTCCCATTCGGATGGCAACAACTCAGATTTTGCAAGTTTTGTTTTGGAGCCATTGCTTGTTGCTTGAGTGTCTTGGACCAGTTCTTCTACAGGCAGTCGAAGATAAAGCTTCCCGCTCATCTCGTCCAAATTGAACAATTTGGTTATCTCAAATGGCTGACCCACTTTCATTCGATACGTCACCAGGCCATTTTCCATTAGGTCATCATCGATAGCTCGCACTTGTGAAATAACTTCTCCAGGCCTGTGGATAGAGCCACGAGAAAATATATTTCGTTGAGCTATTTAGCTTAACCATGATGGAACACAAGATATCGAATAGTGATTAGCGTAATGTTGATACGACCAAGGATCCAGAGGCTGATACCTCCCCATAACCACTTTTTGCAGTGATTTCCTCCATCATTGCCATTATTGCCAGATAAACCTCTACCAATTACTTTCCGTAGGTAACGGTAGAAAACCGCGGTTGCCCGCTTTATTTGCATGTTCAATGAAACCAAAATGGTGAAGCTGCCATTCGGGTATAATGTATTTTAGTGCCATTATAACCTGATGCTACTTAAAGTGTACGAGTAGGTCATTATCATCAACAATTTCCTAGCCAATAACTACGTTTCTGAACATGCATCAGTCCATACATACAACGCATTAACTGGTAATTTTAGTTATATTATTATTTTCCATTAAAATTTTACGTTCATCTAACACTAAACTTCCAAATGGCTTCCCTCATTCTGTGGCATATTCACCTAAGCAATTGTGTCGTATTTATTGGATCATTCCTCCTTGTCTCGAGAGTCGTGTCATCCACCACACTAGCGCTTGCCATTTGACGTTTTGGGTGTTGTTTCCCCCCCCCCCCGTACACTTGGATTGTGAGATGCTACCTCTGCTTGTACTTACGTTTTGATTTGAAATATATTTCGGCTATCCCAATCACTGTAACCATATCCGAAGTGAAAAACATTTTGCGTGACGCGCTCTCAGTGTCCATGCCATCAGTTACGTCAAGGTGACATTACCATGAACAAAAATCGATAGAGCATGCTCGTCTTACATTAATGAGCTAGCCTTTTGTCTTTGCTTTTGTAACAAGCATTACTAAGTTCAGTGCAGCGTTTGGTTTGCGACATCCGAACCTACGATAATTTGAAGTGAAAGCAACCTGGAAGTTGATTCGCGGTGCAAGAACTAAAACATATAAACCGAAGATGGAGTCCTATGTATTGAAGATCATGCGCCTTCGGCGGCATTGTTGGACATCGGTGCATCCTGGGCTCACCCCCCTACCATAACATTGTAAGAGGCATGTGTATGTATAATAGAAAAATTGCTAATTTAATGCTCACTTGGTGTCCTTCCAGAGGTAGACAGTGTCATTTCGTGCTGACGGAAACACAAAACGAGGAACATTGTCATTGATATCCAAAACGTGAATTATCACTACGGAGGTGACAGATAATTGGTTCGTCCCGTGATCTTCTGCTTTAACCACCAATTCATAAAGTGGATACGTTTCCCGGTCCAGTTTTACTAGTCCCAAATAGATGTGGCCGTCTTCAGCAACAAAGAAGCTGTGGAGGAAGAAACTTTGGTCGGAATTCGTATAAGACTGGTTGGTCCAATTGCACTGTTTGTTAGCTGCGATAGCAGTTCTGTCATTTTAAGACATACTGTTGTCGAGCAGATACTATCCGGCTAATGCAATAAAAAGTGAATATAATTTAGTTCGTATCGCAAATATAATTATAAGCTGGACAATTATTTCATGAGCAGATACCTTGGAGTTTCGTAAAGGACAGGCTGAACGACAGACATCCAGACAGTGACCAATACTGTGCGTACTGTTGTTAGTTGACTGTTGCATTGCGTTAGCTAATCAAATCGTTGGTTGCCACACAGGTTCATTATGACTGTACATAATTCAAGTCACTTTTCAATTACAAATTCTGGAGGAGAATTTGATGACATAGGAGACATTCTTTGATCTTCGTGCTTCCATACTTTGGCTTATGGGCGCCCTGATTTGTTTATTTTTACCTGAAGGTCTTGGCATCTATGGCATGATGACCGGATTTTCAGTGGTTCATGATATGCGCTAACTGTTCCGCCGCCTTGCTGGTCAGGTCTTTATAATTCAAAGGTCCGAGTTCGGTCCCCTAAGCCAGCCCAGTTCATCAGCATGAGTTATCGGAAGATACCATGCCTACACAATCTAAGGAACAACATTGTATGTTTCTTTGCTGACTCTTCTTTTTCCCTGAAAGCTCTAGTATAGGCCGCGTTGCGGCTGCCGAATGCGCTAAACCACGCTCTACATTACTACCTTACGGCCATTTTATTCCAAATATGTTAACCCCGGAATCCTCGGTAAACCCCTTCGTATCTCAGCCTACAATACCCTACCTTTTTGAGCGAACATTCTTGCCGCATTAATCAGTTAGTTGACAGTAAAACACATTTTTAAATGAGCCAAAATTACAGTCTGTCGAAGTATACGCCGCTGAAGTGAACCAACAAAGTCTGTTAAATCCACTTCTTGCTAGTCGTCCTGAGATTTCTGGTCGGATCGCGCTGGATCGACCGTTAGCATGAATATGTTTTACTAAAGTAGCGTCAACATTTTCCTTGACACCATCGGTACACCGGTATGAGTAGCGACTTCGGTAGTAGAGTTTTCAGATGGGCGCAATTTAAAATTGCAGCGTAACTAGTACGATGTGAGAACAACCGCAGCGTATTTCTGTAAACGGGCTCCAGTGAAGCAGGAGTTATCACGAGCGTTGGTTTCTGCAGTACGAGCAAATCTATAAGTGGTTCAATCTGCGTCGGCATCCGAATAGTGGAGATAAGCATTTTGCTTTGTGAAAGGAACAATAGGAAACGCTTATCACTGTGATTGGGGAGAGTACATTTAGCTAGGTGGGATGTACCACGCTGGATTCCAGATTTTCTTCCGGATTACTCTGTTATACCTGATTTTTCTGTGTGAATTGTTCATCAATATTTTTCGTTCGGTGTATTCTTCAATATCTGCAAATTTGGTGGAGGTTCTTTGGCTAACTCAGGCGTCCTCATTGTTTTGTTCAGCTGCCAACTGCATCCACCATCTTGGATTTGTTGCACGTCTGGACACGTTCGTTGAATTGTGCCTATTATCGACAAACGTAGCCGTGAAATCTAACCCACCTATCAAACTTCAACTGCGACAAATCACATAAGGTTGGTTTTTGTTGCATCAATGTTTGATCTTGGCGCTTGAGTCTGAACCTCGCCAAGCTTAGATCGCAATGGCTTCACTGAAGCCTCGCCGTATTCAGCAAGCTAAGCGTAGTGTACTATCCACGCCACGAACAAAGCGAATAAAATACCTGACCTCAAAATAAAAGTGAAGCTGTTCCTCGGCTAAAACTATACTCATCGCAGAACTAAGTTATAAATTGCTTTCTTTAAGATCACCACTTAATGAGATGAGGAAAACGCTGGCACTCTTTTAACCCCTCAAAGATCGTCTGATTAAGCTTAACTACGTCAATAACCCATTGGAGATGGATGCTCCTATTCTAATGGGAAAAGTAAGGCAGTTACTTGCCTCTGTTGCCTCTGAAGTGCACGAACGAATATGTAGAGCAAAATATGTGATTATTTTAATGTTCCGGACAGGCTGAGTCTGGATATAGTGAAACTAACGATACTGAAGGCTTGTAACATGTCTAACGTTGACTGAAAATGCCAATGTTTAAAAAAGAAGATACCGAAACACAGTTGTCCCATTGTTTTCAAATTTTTAAGCGAGGAAGTCGCTCAACAATTCCTGCGTTGTGGACACTTCCTAGGCCAGTGCACCCAATTTAACGGTATTTTGAATAAACCAGATAGGAAACCCCTACAAATGTCCGAACTTAGCACTGTGCCGCCAACACCGGAAAAATTTACTAGGCTTTCGAGAAATCTCAGCCAAAAGTCCAAAAGACAAGTGTATCCAAGGGGGATACAAGGGGCATTCATTTAGACATCGATAGTTTAGCAATGTTGTCAACTAGTTCCAAAACTGTCCTTCCTTGCTCCACTGAAACACCCTCTACACAAGGAACGGATAAAGCGGGTTCTCCTATTCCTGACAGCAACACTCCCATTATATCGAATTCCTCGATGATTAAATGAAAGTCTAAATGGTTAGAACAGTGGAGTAATGACAACCCCGTCCAAACCAACAAGATACGTCCAAGGATAGACAACCTGATGTAATTTATAGTCCACTGTCGCCAAGGACGATTTCTCTAATTCAGGGACTAATGTCTTTAAAAAAACGTTTGGATACTAAATACTCGGTGGCGCCCAAAATTCCCTATCGACCAAACTCCTATAAGCACCAGCGCAAACAACCTGTCACGCTGAATAAAAACAATAACAACTGTCTCTTAGCTACGCCTAATTATCATCCTACACTCCACAACAATCACTGGAAGTGCACAGATAATGGAAGCACATCGACCATTAGGACTATGTTGCCACCCGCTCTTTTCCATGTTCCTTCAACTTCTCAAGAGGCTTCTTCCAAAAAACCGATGTTTAGCGGTGACGGAAATGGACTCATACCTAATCCCATCTCAGATACATTCGGAGGAGGTCAACGCCTTGATCCCACTCTTCCTCCAATTTGTCCAGATGGCAAAACTAGTCCAGTGTCAACACAACGGCAACCTGGGCATGATGCGCGAGTTCCCGTCGTGCCCCCAACTGTCTCGATATCCACACGTGACATGTTACCCTTATCAACAAACGTTCTAATGGCTAACTCGGGCCACCATACCGCACTCACCTACCATGTGCCGCATGCTCGAACGCAAACATTCAGACGATCACACAACGGACAGCGATCATTCCCCAATACGTAGTACATTTTCAGTTACTCTGATTAATGCCTGATCCATAATTAACAAACTTCATTTTGTAAACACATTTACACAGTTCAATGACACACAAGCGATCCACGTTACTAAAACACGGTGTTCATCGAACACACTTGACTCTACTCTGATGATTCCAAACTACCACCAATTTCGAAAAGATAGCTGCGACAGAAAAAGTGGAGGGTGTATTATATACATACGCAGAACATTTACAGCTAAACCTATAGACCACTCACAATTGGAAAATATCCCTGAATCTATTTGGCAGTCCGTTGCGGGTGTCTCATCTTACACACTACTCGCATGTATCCACAACTAACCGAATGCG